CTAGGTGGTTTGGGTTTGATTTTAGCCTGGCAAATTTGCCAACATTTTTTAAAAAGTGATAATATTCCACTCTGGCAAGTTTGCAGTGAAACTGACCTCCTTCCTCATGTGCTGTTTGTGGGTGAGTAAACTGGTAGAAACTTTCTAGAAGGCAGAGCCAGTAATGTTAGGTAGATAAAAGATTTCATAAATCAGTTTGTTCTTTAAAGCATAATTTGCAAATTAAAAATAGAGACAGTCGAAACACTCAACATAGATTAAATGACTTAATTCATCCATAATACTCAAATCATTAAAATTAATATGTTTACAGAATTGTTAATGCTGTGTAGTAATTGCTCATACTATATTTGAAAAGTGAGAGATAAGGAAGGTTATGTAACATTCTAATACGGAATTTGTACAACATGTAGGTGAACAATATTTACCACCCTGTTCCAGGGTTATCTCTAGGTAGTGGGATTTTCTTATATTTTTCTCTATTTTCCATACTTTCTACAACAAATGCTAACTACTACAGTAACTTGAAAAAGATGTTTACAGATACATAAGTGTTAAGGAAATGGGGGTGGGGTGGGGTGGTAGACTGGGGACATTCAATGCCTTGAATGTCACTCTGAAGGAGCTATCCTGGGAACAGCTGTGTCAGGACATGGGGATTCCAGCGCAAGGGCACATCCTGCCTGTGCTCTGGCAGCTGTTTGTGGAGAAAGGTTCTCCACCATTCTATGGTAGTTGTTATTTGAAAGGAGGCAGTGTTTCATGAGCTTATGATCTTATTTCAGATGACAACACCTGAGAGCCAGTGGCAGCCTGGGAGATCTGCCAGGGCACTGTGGGATCTTTGTTCCTTCCATGTTTCTCAAACATAAAGCAGTAGCCTTATGCAATATTTGAGCTCTAGTATGTACCAGATGCTGCAGGTGCATTATTTCATCTAATCCTTAAATAACCTCATGAGGAAACTGACGCCTGGAGAGGTCATACAGCCATACAGTGTCAGTTTTAGGATTTGAATCCAGCTCTGGGTGATACCAGAATTCGAGTTCATAACCACTCTTTCTACAGTCTCTAGTATTCTGACATCTGGTTCTAATGCTGATTTAAACATTAAGGCACAGAGTGACATGTCTGAAACCTCCTTGAGCTTCAGTTTCCTCACCTTTGCCTCCCAGTAGTATTGGCAAAAGCTGAGAACAGACGCTCAGAGCTTGATCACCTTGGGATCGATTATCAAGTTAAAGTACCAGACCTCCTTACCTCCACTTCACAGAGGAGGAAGCCAGTGCCCAGAGAGGGGAAGGGACTTATTTAAGTTCATGGCAGAGCCGGGCTAGAATCCAGACATTCTCACTGTCATAGAAACATTGTCCAGATGCAGCGTAACCAGTGGCGGCAACAGGGAAGAGACAACCATATGCATTTATCTCGCTCCTCCCTCCAGCCCAGGGTGGAGAGGCTGCCTCCTGTGACTTCCCCAGATCCCCACATTGACAGCTTCTCTGACAACCCTGGGCCAGGCTTCCTCCTCTCCTCTGGGAAGGGAGTCTTCTCCAGGGTGGTTGAAGAGCTAATCGTCAGGCCCGCCCAGCCACTGAGCAGATTTGGGGCACCCGGGCCTGGGGGAGGCGCCATGCCTCGCTCAGTCTGCCAGGGGCTCACACGTGCCAGGTTCTNGGGGTGGGGTGGTAGACTGGGGACATTCAATGCCTTGAATGTCACTCTGAAGGAGCTATCCTGGGAACAGCTGTGTCAGGACATGGGGATTCCAGCGCAAGGGCACATCCTGCCTGTGCTCTGGCAGCTGTTTGTGGAGAAAGGTTCTCCACCATTCTATGGTAGTTGTTATTTGAAAGGAGGCAGTGTTTCATGAGCTTATGATCTTATTTCAGATGACAACACCTGAGAGCCAGTGGCAGCCTGGGAGATCTGCCAGGGCACTGTGGGATCTTTGTTCCTTCCATGTTTCTCAAACATAAAGCAGTAGCCTTATGCAGTATTTGAGCTCTTAGTATGTACCAGATGCTGCAGGTGCATTATTTCATCTAATCCTTAAATAACCTCATGAGGAAACTGACGCCTGGAGAGGTCATACAGCCATACAGTGTCAGTTTTAGGATTTGAATCCAGCTCTGGGTGATACTAGAATTCAAGTTCATAACCACTCTTTCTACAGTCTCTAGTATTCTGACATCTGGTTCTAATGCTGATTTGAACATTAAGGCACAGAGTGACATGTCTGAAACCTCCTTGAGCTTCAGTTTCCTCACCTTTGCCTCCCAGTAGTATTGGCAAAAGCTGAGAACAGACGCTCAGAGCTTGATCACCTTGGGATCGATTATCAAGTTAAAGTACCAGACCTCCTTACCTCCACTTCACAGAGGAGGAAGCCAGTGCCCAGAGAGGGGAAGGGACTTATCCAAGTTCATGGCAGAGCCGGGCTAGAATCCAGACATTCTCACTGTCATAGAAACATTGTCCAGATGCAGCGTAACCAGTGGCAGCAACAGGGAAGAGACAACCATACGCATTTATCTCGCTCCTCCCTCCAGCCCAGGGTGGAGAGGCTGCCTCCTGTGACTTCCCTAGATCCCCACATTGACAGCTTCTCTGACAACCCTGGGCCAGGCTTCCTCCTCTCCTCTGGGAAGGGAGTCTTCTCCAGGGTGGTTGAAGAGCTAATTGTCAGGCCCGCCCAGCCACTGAGCAGATTTGGGGCACCCGGGCCTGGGGGAGGCGCCATGCCTCGCTCAGTCTGCCAGGGGCTCACACGTGCCAGGTTCTGTGCTGGGTGCTGTGCTTGATTTACCTTCCCTCCCCAGTCAGAAGTATGCCTTCTAGCAGTATTTCAGTGGTTCTTAAGTTTTTAAATGGTTCTTTAAGTCAATTTTTATTCTAAAAATCTATCATGGTAAAAAGCAAAGTTTTCCTTTTACGGTGATAATTCACAAATGAGCATTTTCATAGCCTTTTCATAGGCTGACTTATTTTTTAAAGTGTTTCTTTTGTTCTTGTTTTGGCTGCTGGCCTGTAAGGGGAGCTGAACCCTTAACCTTGGTGTTATAACACCATGTTCTATAAAGTGTTTCTTGAAATGGGATATAGAATGTCTTTTCTTTCTTTCTTTCAGCATCTTGAAAAGTGTACAAAAGGGCCTAAATTTCTTTTCCCACCCCCAAATGATGGTCCAGTGACCAGTGCTAGATCTCAACCAACTTCTCACCTATCTGGGATGAAATGAGAAAATTAAATGTGTGAGTGGCTGTGTAATGTTGCATCAGCATGTCAGTTCCTTTTTCCTCGAAGAGCTGTTCTTGAATGATTCCTTACTATATTTTAGATGATTAAAGTGTTCTTTCTGTTATAAAATGATAGTGATAATCTACAAATGATTTTTTTTCGGCATCCTTGCTTGTCAACATCTATCAACTCTCTCATTAAAAAAAATATTACTCATTTATGAAACCTGGGAGTCACTGACCATGCTTTGTGATGGAGAAAGCCCTTTTGTATGAATCATCCCTTTGATCAGATTCAACCAACACTGGCGAAGGTTGGTTAAAGTATTCACTCAATGCGGCTCACATGCTTGACTCTACCAATTATCCCCAAGCCACCTCCATCAAGTCCTAACCTCATTCAGCCTCAGCCTCCTCATCTTTAAATTGGGGATGTTCCTATTTCCCAAGGTCGTTCTGAAGATTAAGATAGTGTAGGTGAGATAGCATAGCTTGTGGAGCATCCCGAGTACCGTATCTCACGCCTATTTGGCAAGATAAGTACTGCTGCTTCTTTTTTACGGTTGTGGAAACAGCCCCTTTTAACAGACAACAAGCATGGGAAAACCATGGCTTGAAATTCAGATGCTCTGACCCAATACCACATAACTGAGGAGAACTGGCTGGAAGCTGGCATAGCCATAGTCCCTGAGAGGAAAGGGGCATCATCTCTGACTTGAGGG